TTAATTAAAAGTTCTGCATTCAAACTCCATTGTATGTTTTACAGTTACACGTCAAACGATGCTATGCAGTAATGATCTCTTAGGAGGATGCAGGGGACACTTATCTGATTTAGTCCTGCGATCCTGTCCAGCATAAGCGTTTGGAAGATGGATGGATGCATGGATGGATGGATGCATAATCGTGATAGTCGCCGCGGCCATCGATTTCAGCGCAGGACACTGTGAGGGACGCAGAGGGGAAGGTCAAATCAAACTGAACGAATCCGCCTCCTCGCACCCCCTGCGCTCCCCCCAACGGAGATCCGCCGTGGAGCGAGCCGGCTTGGCCACACCTGCGGCAGAAAGTCGAGCCTGCACACCTGCCGGCACACAATTTAAATACGGTGCACTTTTATTTTTGGAAATAAAAAATATATAGCCTGCGAGGGTATTAGAAATATAATCATTCCTTCCATTTACGCAATACGCTTTACAAAAGACGACAAATCGCCGGCGAAACGGAAAAACTATTATGCTGCTATCTGAAGAGGAGAGGACTTTGCTCGCACCTGGCGAACAGCGCTCGTCCATTTAGGAATAATTGGAATGGCGTGTAAGTAGCCTACCTGGCGTAACGTGTGATTACCGGTAGATTTTATTTATACAGTTTGCGCTCGGTGCACGTAGAAGTAGCCTATATTCACTTGTTGAGAGAACCCTGATCCGCCTTGAGTTTGCACACATATAACATGTTTGCGTTACTTCTCTTCGTTTCGGTTTTTCCACATATGCGACTGAAAGGAGTCGATCTCCTGCGTGGAAGTCTTACAATAAAACGCTAAATATTAAATGCCGCAGTTACACCAGTCGGATTAATTTACCCTGTAACAATCACGTCTTGCATATTTGTATTTCATATGTGAGAAAACAATCGGTGGCTTTTTTTTTCTTTCGGATTGTGTGCTAAAATAGGAATTAGAGCAATACTGAAAAGACAAATGAAAAAATCAGCGATAAATTGTACAGAAATAGAAACTGGCTCATTAAGTTTTGAAATTAATATTGCATTTATGTAATTCATGAGTTTGCCAAATGTATGCAGTTTTGCTTTTTATGCTGTCTGTCCTTACAAATTCAGGATTGGCGATGCTGATTAATACATCACAGTACAGATTTTAAATATTTAAAATTAAGAGGAATAGCCTATGACACAGTCGTTCATGTATAATGATTAGTGCTGCAATTATACTGGACTAAAACGGTACCAAGTGGCACTCACCGCTTACTGTAAAATGAAACTTGCGCAAAGTTAACTTCCTGCTCTGTTTTTGCCCATTGTTTTATGTGGAGACTATTTGGACTAACTTCACAGAGTTATTGATACTGTTTTAAAATAGCAAAGGGAGCAAAGGCTGAATGGAACGAAAGAGGGCTTTTTAATTTGAACAGTTTGGGCCAAGTGCTGTTGTGCATAAATGTAATACCATAGTTCTATTGCCCTGTGGAGTCTGAAAACTTAAAATTGTAATTTTAAAAGTCATTTCTAAGTAGGCCGTTTTATTTTAACGCTATGGGAAATGAACGCAACAGTGGCAGTAGAGATGTTTTTCTGGTTGCTCTCCAGAGAGATCCCACGGAAAGCGGGGGCAGCGTGGGTCCCCAGGCGCTGCTGGCGGAGCAGATTGACTTTAGGTGCGGCGAGGAGAAGCGCAGGTGTAGCGCGGATCTACTGCGGATGGCGATCGCGACAGGGTGCGTCCCCTGCTATGCGGAAAGGCACGCTGGACCGGTGCCCTGCTGCTATCAGGTTCTGCCCAGGCTCCGGTGTCACTCAGCAGGCGGATTTGAATATTTTGGAGGCCAGGCTGAGCTCGCATGAAAGAGGAGGAAGTTTTGTCAGCAGTATAGCACCAAGGGACGCACAAGTTAATTGGTGATTTAATTAGCGTTTTGATATTGCAGCTGTGCTGAATAAGGGCAAGAGGGTGTCGGAAAACAGGGAACTTTACTGCAAACCATCTGCTCGGTGGATGTAGTAAACTTAACATTAACAATGATCAGGAAGAGAAAAAAAACAGCTGCAGTGGTTGAAATCTGAGAGCATTCAAACTGTACAACACCAGCGTTATATATGCTTAAAAAACTTTTAAACTACCTGTTTGCAGATATTTTTCTGTCTTCCTCAAGAGCACAAAATCGAGGTGAAATGAAATATCAGGAAAAGTAAATAAAAGCCGCGGTTGTGTGACAAGGTGGGGAGGGATAATGCATTGTCATTTATCTTGGCTGCCAACAGTCTAATGCAACCAGGGAGAAGGGATCAAGACGGGAGGTGAAAGGTAAGACGGCTGGGGCCGGATCTCGTGGTAGTCTGACGGTAACTGGAGATCACGTCTGCAGGAGTGAGGCGAGCAGAGGCGTCCGGATACCGCAATGTGGTTAAACTGTTTATGCAGGACGTTGTATTGTGCTGATAAGATAAACGTGCCCTTTCGACCTGAGGTATTATATCGGTGCCCGTTTTTTTACGTTATTTACATTGCGTTCTAGAGACTCCATTTTATTGTAGTTATATGCTCGTTTATTCGTATGAACAGGTACCATAACAAACAACGTTAGTCTCGATTTTCGTCTGAAATAAAGGTTGACAGCGTTTATGTGGATTGCATATTGGGAAACTTTGAGAATGTTTGTTTCTTGTAGCTGGGAATCTTATTTTGGATGAACAAATTCTTAACGGCTAGGCAGTCTAAAGTCATTTATCAAGGGTAGCTGCCCTTTCCCTCGCAACCATGATTTAGATGGGTGGATGGATGGATGGATTTTCATTCCTATAGAATATTTATTTTGTTTTGCATAAAACTGATTATCATATAAATTAACATGATGCCATGGTTCATGCACCTAATATTATGTTGTCCTGATAATGACAGCTGTTTAAAATATATTCTTATTCTTATTATGTTCTTATGTTCTTAACTTAATGGCATTGTCTCAACACAGAGTAAACATGAAGTCATGTTATTTATTGCATTGAATAGTCAGACAGTTATAGGGACTGGTCATGTGTCTATCAGCTGAGACAAATAAAAGCAGGAATTTGCACTCTTATTACAGTCAGTATAGCTAAAGAAATCAAACGTTCAGAAAACTCAAATAAAAACTGCAATAAATAATGTAAGGAAAAATGCAGAAGTACTTGGTAACAACAAAGAAACATAGTACCAGATTTTCGCAAACACTAAAATACATATTACATTGCTGTGCCTGTTTCCACAATGGGTTTATGCTTTAATGACCCTGATGATCTTACCCAGTCAATCTTATTGCTTGTTTGTTATGGAGATTATTTTGATTGCTGTAGTCAATATATTTTTCCAGTTAGAAGTGGCAGGAATTGGTTGGTTTATGTTTTTGTTTGCAGCTGGAAACACAAGGCATGCAGTCTTGCTTTTCAGCTTTATTGATTAATTGAAACATATATTAGATGTTTAAAGTTAACAAAACACCTGTAATTTTTGCATGTGGAATTGTCTGTATTTTTACCAAACAGATTATGTTGCTACTACACACACACACACACACACACAGTATAATAAGTAAAATTACAAATACCCTAGGACAGTGACAAGCTTGGTGGCACAGTGCCTCACTGAGAAGCACTGTGACCTCACACCTCCAAGGTTAGGGGTTTGAATCCCACCCCTGGTCTTGTGTGTTGGTTTTCCTGCCCCCTCCCCACCAACTGTGTGCTAGTGAAATATGCATATTCCCTCCTGGTTTGTGCATGTTTTCTCCCACAGTCCAAATGCACAAATGGCATCTAAATTTATCTCTGTGTGTGTATATGTGTGTGTGTGTGTATGCATGTGCGTGTGCGTGTATATATGTGTGTGTGTGTATGCATGTGCGTGTGCATGTATATATGTGTGTGTGTGTATGCATGTGCGTGTGCGTGTATATATGTGTGTATGTGTGTGTGTGTATATATGTGTGTATGTATGTGCGTGTGTATGTGTGTGCGTGCGTGTGTGTGTGTATGCATGTGCGTGTGTGTATGCGTGTGCGTGTGTATGTGTGTATGCATGTGCGTGTGTGTATGCGTGTGCGTGTGTGTGTGCGTGTGTGTGTGTATGTACGCGTGTGCCCTGAGATGGACTGGCCCCCTGTCCAGGTTGTCCTCTGTCTTGTGCCCTGTGCTTCCTGGCAGAGGCTCCAGGTTCTGGATAAGCAGTATGGAAGATGGATGGATGATAATTAGACATTCTTGTGACCTTATTACAATCCTCTAGACCAGTGTTTCTCAATCCCGTCCTCGGGGTCCCACAGAGGGCAGGAAGCAAAAATGTGGACTGTCTGGTAGGGAACTCGGAGGGAGCAAAAACATGGGCCGGCTGTGTGTCTCCGAGGACCAGATTGGGAAACACTGCTCTAGACTATCCTGTATTTTTTAACTTTAAATTTTTAGGGGCTCAGTTGCATTGAATTGAAGATATTAAACTCTTCAGCATGATACCTTCCTAATGAATATTTTATTAGTTTATTTAATTCTTCATCCTTTCATCTCAGTCTGCTGGCTTATTATTATTTTAATGAAGTAAGACGTTTTAGCACGGCCCAAGAAAACAACGTGAAGTAAAAACGAAAGCCAAATATTAAGGGTTACTTAATTCCGAGAATCTCGTGAGGAATCTCTTAGCTGAGGCGAGCATGAAGACGTACTGCGCTGTAATCTCCTGTAATGGAGAACTTAGTCTCAATGCTCCTCCTGCACAGATTCAATATGTTCCTTTGATCCGGACAGGATTGGCAAAGGCTGGGCGACCCACGGGGTGGAAAGAGGCTCCGACTTCACTCATTGTCCCCATCCAGGGCCACGGGGTTTGTCCCATTTGTGACAGGAACGACAGCTGAATCACCCCATTCACCATCAAGAC